CAACAGAGAGAAACTAAAAGCATTCCCTTACCATAAATAATACCCAATCGATATCATTTTGGAATTTCATATATTATATGACTATATAGAGTTCATTTTGCTGACTTGTGACCTAGAACTATAAAGATCATCAATGATAAAATTGGAATAAACTTAGGAGCTCTGATTTGTTGTTGTTGTTACGTGTCATTCCGACTCAGGAGAGTCAGTGTAGGCTTTAACTGGTGACGGGAGCAGAAAGTCTCATATTTCTCCCACAGAGCAGCTAGTGGGCTTGAGCCATAGACCTTGTGGTTTGCAGTCCAGTGCTTACTGTATGGAGCCAGCACACTCCCCAGGGGCTCTGATAAATGGTATAAATATACTATCAAACATAATTAAAACACACAAATAGCAAAAGACAAAACAAATGACTGGAACCTCCTAAATATTAGACAATGTGCATCAAGAGTCCTGGTGTGGTGTTGCAGGATAACCACTGGACTAGTAGACCACACAAACATCAGTCTCCACAACCCTGAGAAGTAAAGAACTATATGGTGTCCAGTTACCACTACCAACAGCTCTGAAAGGGATCACATTAGAAAGGTCTGGATAGAATGGGAGAAAATGTGAAACAAATCTCAAAATACTAAAACAGGCCAGACTTACTGGCCAAATGGAGACTGGCAGAACCTCTGAGACAGTGGCCTTTAGTCACCCTTCAGATCTGGAACTGAACTCACTCTCATGGCTCAATTTCAGGCAAATAATAGGCTTATGAAGTAAACAATAACACTAGCGAGGTACTGGCACCTTGGAACAATCAACCATTTGAAATCAATGGGTGGCCTTTACCCAAGCCAGGACAGAGTTCAAAAGGGTTAGGTAAGAAAGAGGAATGAAAAAAACAGAGAAAGCAAGTGAGATAAGTGATAAAACACTGTGGGGATTGCAATCAATGAAATGAAACAAAATGTGTATGAAAAGTGGAATGGAAAACTGATGATTGGCTCTGCAAATGCCATCCAATTTACAATAAAACGTTAAAAAACAGGAACAAAAAGAAAATGAATTACTGATACATGCTACCACATGGATAAATCTCAAAATAATTATGCTAAAGAAGCCAGACCAAAAAAAAAAAAAAGTGCTATATGAGCCCATTTATAAAAATTCTAGAAACTTCAGTGTTCTGTAGTGACTTAAAGCGGCTAAGGAGAGTAAGTGTGTCTGGCGGTCCTGTGGATCTGTCTCCTGTGGATCTGTCTGCTGCTTCAACAATGCTTACATAGAACAGATCTGCGGACTCCCCACCTCTAGCCTCGGACACCTTTAAACCTCCTCTTTAGGCACAATCTCTTCTCTGGGACCATCTTCTTGGCTATTATTCCGTTATCAGGACCAGCCAAACACCAATTTTCTATGTGTGTTGTTGTTAAATGCCACTGAGTTGGCTCCGACCGATAGCAACCCTGAATAGCATTTCTGAGGAGCAGCTGGAGAGCTTGAACCACTGACCTTGACGTCCAAATGGCTTTGCAGCCTAGTGCATTAACTCACAGTGCCACACCAGGACTCTGTGTGTGTGCTGTTGTTGTTGTTGTGAAGTGCCGTCGAGTAGGTGCCGACCCATAGCGACCTTGTATAGGGTTTCCGAGGAGCAGCTGGTGAGCTTGAACTGCCGACTTTGCAGTTCAACCAGTTTTGCAGTCTGTATGTGTAGTTAGCTTCAAATCTTTGTCAGAATTATTCTGCTGAAGCAGAGGCTGGCGTCAGCTGTCTGGTTAATCTGTATCTGCGGGCCTCTTAGACCTACCTCTCTCTGGGCTTCTATTTTGATTGCGATGATGAAGGCGCAAGACACTTCTGTGAGTTGGCAAAGGGGAAGTATGAGGATGCCAAGTGTCTCTTGAAACTGCAAAACCAGTGTGGCGGTCACACTCTCTTCCAGGATGTTCAGAAGCTGTCCCAAGACGAGTGGGGAAGAACCCTGGAAGTCGCCATGGAAGCTGCCCTGGCCCTGGAGAAGAACCTGAACCAGTCCCTTCTAGATCTGCATGACGTGGCTGCTACCCACAGAACCCCTACCTCTGTAACTTTCTGGAGAACCATGTCCTCCATATGGAGGTGAAAATGATCTAGAAGATGGGCAACCATCTAACCAACTTCCACAGGGTGGCCGGCCCTCAGGCAGGGCTAGGTGAGTTTCTCTGCGAGAGGCTCGCCCTCAAGTATGACTAGGAGCCTGTGAAGCTGTGCGACCTATGTGGGGCCTTTAGCCTTCCCCTCCTGTCCACAGATCTTTGGCCTGAACCTCCCTCTCCAGCCACAGAGACAGCACCACCACACTGTGGAGCCCCTCTTCTCCTAAGCCATGGACCAAACGAAAACAAAAAACCTTCCTTCTACAGCAGAGCAATTGCCTGGGGGCTAGAGGAGGGATTGCTGTTGTGAAGTGCCGTGGAGTTGGTTTCGACCCATTGCAACCCTGTTACGTGGTTTCTGAGGAGTGACTTGTGAGCTTGAACCACTGACCTTGTGGTTCAAACCAACTTTGCAGTCCAGCACATTAAGCCACAGTGGCATACCAGGCCTCCAGAGGGGGATAGGAAGAAGAATTTAAACAGAGCAAAAGTTAACTATTGGACGTAATGAATCTGCTCATTATTTTGATTGTGATGATGGTTTTTCTGGGTGTATACATACCAAACCTACCAAACTGTTCGATTTAAATGTGTGTTGTTAAGGGGCTGGCGAGTCAGTTCCAACACATAGCAACCCTGTATAGGGTTTCCGATGAGCAACTGGTGGGTTTGAACTACCAAACCTTGTGGGTTAGCAGTCCAGTGCTGATCCTTTAGCACCACACCAGGAGTCCTAAGTGTGTAGTTTGTTGCATTTCAACGACAAATTATCTTAAATACTCGATTCTTATTCTGTTTAACCATGAGCTTGACTAGTTAGATCTTTAAGGTACCCTCTAGGTCCAGTACTCTAGGATTCATAGTGCTCTAGACATATACAGAGGATATAAGCATGTATAAGAAGCTAAAAAGAAGAAATATCTAGACTCAAGTCAGGCATGAATCTCCTTGTTGCATATAAAGATACATTTCACATTTCATAAACATTAAGGTACAAAAATATTTTAAACTAGAAAACAGTAAATCCAAAGAAATAAATAACAAAATCTCTCATACTTAATTATAATAAAGTTATTTTTGTACTTTTCAAAGTTTATTCATATATATTACCTGGTATGCATTTTTCTATATGCTCTTAAATACCATCTGAATCTATAATGTTCTTAAAAATCACATGTATGTATCTACCCACCTGGAACAAAGAAGAGTGAAGAAAATGAAGACTCGAGAAACAACAATTGGTGGAAAGGACAAGTAGACCACGTGAACCACAGCCTCCACGACCCTGAGACCAGTAAACTAGATGGTGCCCACCGAGTTGATCAGGTTTACAATAGAAGGTTTTGGACAGGATGGAAGAAAAAAATTGTAGAACAAAATTCAAAATCATAAAATAGACCAAACTTACTGGTCTGATAGAAACTGGTGGAACCCTCGAGACTGTGTTCTTTCAACATTCTTCAAGCCTGGAACTGAACCCACCCATGGGGATCAACTTTCAGCCAAACAATAGACAAGCCTATAAAGTGAACATAACAGTGAACCATACTAGACCAGAGGGGCAGCATTTTTCCATAGACAAAGTTCAGGAGGCAGGAAGGGACAGGAAAGAAGGAAGAATGGAAGGAGGGCAGCCCAGGAAATAAGTGGAAAGAATACTGTTAAACTGTGAGGATTTCAATCAATGTCATGAAACAAAATGTATGAAAACTGTTGAATTGAAAACGAATTTGCTCTGTAAACTTTATTCAAACCACAATAAAAAGTCAAAGAAAAAAAAAAGCAAAAACATGTGTAAGTCACTATTATTCATACTTCTATAATGCTTTTTGTACTGTCATGATGTTTTTACTTTTAAATACCTACGTATTTAAAAGTATTGTAAAAACAATTCACTTATAAATGTGAAGTTAAAAACAGAGAATTTCTGAACTTAGAAATAGACTTTAAGTACAGTTGTTGGAAAGTTCTTCCAACCTTGAAAATAGATTAACATAGTATGTGAACTGGGTTGTAAACAGTTTTTTGAATGTCAGGCTGTGTACCTGTATTCTGTGATAACAGAATGTTCCTTAATCTTATCTCTTTAAATTAACAAAACAAATATGCCACTAAAAACAATTTTCATAAGTTTTAATTAATTAACTTGAGCTTGAAACATGTAAATATTACATGTCATATTAAAATTCCATAATTGGCAATAAAACAATATAAGTCAACAAACCATAAATATGCCTGTCATACAATTCTTTAACTGGCAATTGCTAAGTATTGTTGAGTCGGTTCTGATCCATAGCAACCCTGTGGTTTTCGAGGAGCAGCTGGTGAGCTTGAACCGCCGAGTTTGCAATTCCAATCAGCTTTGCAGTCCAGCACGTTAACTCACAGCGCCACAACAATAAAACATGTTAACTATGGTTGAACATGACAGCACGAAGGGTGTGTAAACCCATAGGTTTCTGCTCATTTTGGGCGAAGACAGAAACAAGAGTCTCTCTGACCCTCTGAAGATTGAGAAGTCCTGCTGAGACAGTAGTGCTTGCCTCAGCTAACTTCAAATGCTAGCTATGCAGAGTCTTCTCTGAGTTCAAGGGGTGCTCAAATCTCCTTGCTGAGACCAGTTGTTAAAGGTAAAATCTCCAAATCCAAACATGTGAACGCTAACATTTAAACTACCATTGTAAATTTACTTCAGATTCTCCAGTGTTAAATGTCTTGAGCTCTTACTTATATGCCTTGCCTTGACTATTTTGCAATAAACTAGTTTATACAAGATGAACCTGAGTATTTCTTTAAGTATTCTTAGTATAAAATCCTTTAGGACACTCTCCCATTTGACCTTTGCCCATCCCAGTAAGGCTGTAGATAACTTACCATCTATCAATGCACTTCTGACAGAAGCTGTGAGTACAAGGCAGGATGAGGTCGGCTCGGCCATCCATACAGATACAACACTCCTCCTCCTCAGTCAATTCATTCACCCTGCAAGGTGAAAGGTGAGCGGAACACTGATATTCTTCATTGTTAGTACGCTTTATACTATGCTTTCATTATCTTAAAAAACATGATTAAACATCTATGTGTTCAGAGAATAAGCACAATCCTATTCATGTGCAAAATCAGACTGTAAGTTAACATATCTTTTAGAGACAGTGACTATTTATATTAGGGAAAAAGTACTAAGGGACATATTTCATAAAGATTGAGTAAAAGAAAAAAATCTGTAAATATGAAAAAAAGCTGGGAATATTCTGGTCTTTCTGAAAATAACAGTTCATTTTAAGCATACTGAACTTGCATAAATGAATTAAATCAACAGATGATTTCTTCATGGTGCAGGATTCATAACTCTTAAGATTTGGGCCCTGCCACTAAGTCGGAACAGACTCGATGGCGCTTAACAACAACCATGTCCTTACAGTACTGACACTGATAATGGGAATATACATGAAAGAATGGCTTAGTCTTAGCTGTCAGGAGCTCTTGGAAATACAAAGAAGACAGAAAACAAAGTCTCTTGTCTTCAAAGAGCCCCTTTCATTTCCTTGGAAAAAAAGATGTGTGGCCTTCTATTCCAGACATAACTTAGAGTGCCCCTGAATTAGACACATGCTTCTGCATGGTATTTTCCTTTTCTGGAAGCCCTTATGAATTTGGTAAGCTCCAATCTCAGCAACTCAGCTCATAATAGCATCTTTTCTGTGCTTGCAGAACCACCATTGTCCAATTAATGCACTTAAATGTTATATTTCAATTGGCTGTTTAATGGCTGATTTCTCTGTAAACCAAGCTCTTTGAATACAGTTTTGTTATGTACTCAAAAGTCTGTTGGAAGTGATTTTAATATTCTTTTATTCTTTGTGCATTTCTCTATTTGTAATGATTTTCTTAATTGAGCATGCATTATTTTTATGATTATAAAAAAACAACAACAAACACACACCTCAATGTTTCAAAAACAAACTACCAAAAGTTTATTATAAAGGCAGGAACTATTTTTGGCTCCCCTCCCCACCCCCCGCCCCACAGTTTTATAGCTTTGCCTAATACACTGTTATGGTGGTTATGTGGCATGGAGTCAGTTCAACTTATAGGGACCCTGGTTAGATTTCTAAAGCTGTAAACCTTTATGGGAGCTGAAAGCCTCATCTTTCTTCTGTGGAGCAGTTGGTAGATTCAAACTTGACCTTGTGGTTAGTAGCCCTACATGTAACCTACTACACTACCAGAGCGCCTTACACATTGAGGTAGTTGTTAAGTGCCATTGAGTTGGTTCTGACTCATAGCGACTCTGCAGGGTTTCTGAGAAGTGGCTGGTGAGCTTAAATTGCTGACCTTGCCTTTCAAACCAATTTTGCAGTCTAGTATATTAACCCACAGCACCACACCAGGACTCCACACATAGAGATAGCACTTTAAAATCTGTTGATTTTAACATAAAACAATACAAATGTCAAAAGTGTAGAAAGTGCTAAGTAAAGAATGAGAAGACCAGTATAACTTGTTGAATAAATGAGGTGGAAAAAAGATATGCTTTTGATAAAGATGGAGCACACTAGGTAAATAAACAGACAATGTGGAGGTGTATACGTATGCATATGTATTTGTAATAGGGATGCTGGGATGATGCTCCTGGGGAAAGAAAAGATCTGTTCAATACAGCAAAAATAATCTCAGCACTGAGTACCAAAATAATATGTGAATTTGCTTTGACAGGCAACCAAAGATCAGTGCTTGTTGTTAAGTGCCCATTTTTGACTCACAGTGACCCTATGAGCAGTTTCTGAGGAGCAGCTGGTGTGTTTGAACTGCTGACCTGCGGTTAGCAGTCAAGTGCTTATCCATTAGTACCACACCAGGATCAGTGCTAAATCAGGAGGAAATACACCCCACTCAAACAATATTTGGGGAAGATTAATCAGGGGGACAGTCTGGAGGGAGGAAAATTAGTTAGAACCTTGTTTTAGCAATTTATCTGGGAGATAATTAGGGACTGGTCCAAGAGTCATAATAAAGGAAAAATCATGAGGATGTGGTGAAAGATTAAATGTTATGCTTCAGTAATGGGGAAGAGGGCAGCCCCTGAGTTGAAATGGTAAAACTGAATGAAAACCTATATATGCATGTCGATCTAATATATTTGATTTTAGATATGATATTCAAAGTATTGAATGTATTCAAAGTATTGAAGAGTTTCAAAAAGTTTATGTAAAAATTCTGTTATCTTTCAATTCCATTTTTCTACAAACTTTTAAAGCCCTCTTGTATACAAGAGGACACAGCAGAACTTCCTCATAGGGTTTCCAAGGAGTTCCAGTGTGGCACTGTAGGATAAGCACTGGACCACAAGGGCAATTTGAACTGCAAGGTCGATACTTCAAACCCATCAGCTATTCCTTGGAAACCTCATACAGGGTCATTATGAGTTGGAAATAACTCAACAGCACTTAACAACAACCATCTTTATGAAAGCAGACCAGCTGGTGGGTTCAAACTGCTAACATTTTGGTTAGTAGCTAAGAGCTTAGCTATATTATATGTATTACTGTTATATGCCATCCACTCAGTTCTGTCTCACAGTGACCTGTATAGCAGGGGTGGGGAACAAGACTGCCAAAATTTATAACATCATTTGTAAACCATACAAAATTATCAACTTAAAAAATCAGCCAGCTATATTTGGTCAAACATTTAATTAAATCACTCCTAAAGTGATGGCTTGACTCAACAGCACTCAATAACAACAATGTGATAGCTGGAACTGCGGTTGCCTTGGCAGGGCCAGACTGAATGATTTTGTGGGGCTTATACGGTCCATGGAAGTCCTGGTGTAGTGCTGTGGGTTAATGCGCCAGACTGCAAAGCCATTTGATTCTACAAGACCGGCGTTCAAGGCACCAGCTGCTCCTCGGAAACCCTACACAGGGTCGCTATGGGTTGGAACTGACTCGATGGCACTTAACAACATACAGTCTATGGGCCAGATATTCCCTATCCCTGCTGTATAGGGTTTTCCAAAGGAGCAGCTGTTGGGGGGTTTGAAATAGTGATGTGGTGGTCAGCAGTTCAGTGCTTATCCTAATGCACCATATGAGAACTTCATAAATATATTGTTGTTGTTAGGTGCTACTGAGTCAGTTCTGACTCATAGAGAACCCATGCACAACAGAATGAAACACTGCCCTGTTCTGCACCATCCTCACAATTGCTGTTTGATCCCACTGCTACTGCTACTGTGTCAATTCACCTTGTTGATGGCTTTCTTTTTTGCTGACCCTCTACTTTATCAAGCATGATGTCCTCTGAGGATTAATACTCCTGGCAACATATCCAAAGAACAAGAGATGAAGTCTCGCCATTCTTGCTATTAAGGAGCCTTTTGGTTGTACTTCTACCAAGACAAACTTGTTTGTTCTTCTAGCTATCCAAGGTACTTTCAATGTTCTTCTCCAACTGCACTGATTCTTTTATGGTCTTCCTTATTCACTGTTCAACTTTCACATACACATGAGGCAACTGAAAATACCATGACTTGGATCAGACACAGCTTAGTCTTCAAACTGACCAGGTTTCTCTTTTGCAGCAGATTTGCCTAGTGCAATATATCATTTTCTTTCTTTCTTTTTAAGTTTTATTGTGATTTGATTGATCGTTTACATGGGAGAACATTGGTTTTACACTCATTTCATTGCAATGATTACAATCTTCACTGTGCATCGTCATTAAACAGTATCTGTTTCTATCTATTCCTTTTTTTGATGTACACAAAAACACTCAGGAATATATAAATATTTAAACAACCAAAGGGCAAGTTCTGCAATCATTTTATTTTTTAAATGCTGCTTTCATAAGTGTTGATTGTGAAGCCAAGCAAAATGAAATCTTTGGCAACTTCAATCTTTCCTCCATTTATCAGATGTTATTTACTAACTTAGTTGTGAGGATTTCTGTTTTCTTTACATTGAGGTACAATCCATATTGAAGGCTGCAGTCTTTTATCTTAATCAGTATTTTAAGTCCTCTTGGCTTCCAGCGAGCAAGGTTGTGTCATCTGCATATTACAGGTTGTTAAAGAGTCTTCCTCCAATCCTGATGCACATTCTTCTTCATATAATCCAGTTTCTTGGACCATGTGTTCAGCATACAAATTGAATACATATAGTGAAATGATACAATCCTGACGTACACGTTTCCTGAGTTTAGACCATTCAGCATCCCCTTTTTTTGTTTGAACAACTGCCTCCTCTTAGTCTATTATGTCCAGGTTCCTCATAAGCACAATGAAGTTTCTGGAATACTCATTCTTCACAATGTTGTCCATAGCTTATCACGATCCACACAGTTGAATGCCTCTGAGTAGTCAATAAAACATAAGTAAACATCTTTCTGGTATTTTCTTCTTTTAGTCAAGAACGATCTAACATTAGCAATATCCCTCATTCCACATCTTCTGAATTTGGCTTGAATTTCTGGCAGCTCCCTGTCAATGTACGGTTGCAACTATTTTTTAATTATCTTTAGCAACAATTACTTGCATGTGATATTAATTAATCTGTTTGGTGATTTCTGTATTTTGTTGGGTCACCTTTCTTTGGAATGGGCACAAATACGGATCTCTCCCAATAAACTGGCCATAGACCGTGAGCATCTTTAGCACTGCGTTAGCTTGGTGAAACAGTTCAATTGTATTCCATTAATTCCTGGAGTATTGTTTTTTGATAATGTCTTCAGTGCAGCTTAGATTTCTTCCTTCAGTACCATTAGTTCTTGATCATAGGGTACCTCTTGAGATAGTTAAGGTCAGTGGTTCAAGCTTACCAGCTGCTCCTTAGAAACCCTATACAAGGCTGCTATGAGTTGAAACTGACCCGACAGCACTTAACAACAACACAGTTGTGAACAACTCAACATAGTTGACTTGGTTCCGACTCAAAGCGACCATATATAGGATTTCCAAGGAGCGACTGGTGGGTTTGAACCACCAACTTTGTGGTTAGTAGTCTAGTAGTCAGCCTACAGTGTCACACCAGGAGTCCATAGAATTCTTTAATACTGCAAACTGAGGCTTCAGTTTTTTCTTCAGTTCTTTCAGCTTGAGAAATGCTCAATGTATTTTTCTCTTTTAGTATTCTGACTCCAGGTCTTTTCACATTTCATTATAATACTCTGTCTTCTTGAGCTGCCCTTTGAAATGTACTGTTCAGATCTTTTACTTCTTCATTTTTTTCATTCACTTTAGCTTCCTATACTCAAAAGCAAGTTTCAGGATCTTTTTTGACACACATTTTGGCCCTTTTCTCTCTTTCTAACGATCTTTTGCTTTCCTCAAGTCTGATGTTCTTGATGTCATCCCACAACTCTTCTGGTCTTTGGTCACTGGTGTCTAACACATCAAATCTGTTCTTGAAATGGTCTCTGAATTTATGTGGAACATACTCAAGGTCATATTTTGGCTTCTGTGGATTTTAATTTCCTTCTACTTCAGTCTGAACTTGTATATGTGCAGGTGATGATCTGTTTCATCTACCCCAGGACTTGTTTTGGCTGATGATATTAGGTTTCTTGGTGCCAATGCGAATCCATTTTAGATCACTAAAGCCTTACTAGTGTGATCCATTGCATTTTTGACAACTTACAATTTTCCTAGAATCATAGTTTGTAAAATCCATGTTTCAATAATTGATGTATGTTTGCAGGTGTTTCTTCTCATTTTGAGTTGCGCCCCATCAGCAAATGCAAGTCCTAAAAGCTTCACTCCATTCCCATCATAAAGTCGAGACAGCTCTTAGCCCAGTTGTATTTTGAATGCCTTCCAACCTGAGGGACTCATATTCTGGCACTGTATCTGACAAAGTTCTGCCGCTATTCTTAATGTTTTCGGTGGCTAACCATTCACAAGTGTCTTGTTTCTCCTTCCTAGTCTGTTTAGTTTGGAAGCTCTGCTGAAACCTGTCCACCATGGGTTACTCTGATAGTATTTAATATACCAGTGACATAGTTTCCAGCATTACAGCAACATACAAGCCACAAACTGACAGAGAAGTGGTGGATACACACACACACATACACATATAAATGCTGTTGTTGTTGCTACCTGCCATCCAGCTGGTTCTGACTTATAGTGACCCTGTGTGGGGTTTCCGAGGAGTGGCTGGAGAGTTTGAATCACTGACCCTGAGGTTCAAACAAACATTGTGGTCCAGTGCTTAGCCTATAGAACCAGGATTACACACACACATATATCTACACACAGATACACATGTGTGTGTGTATTATATGCCTAGATTATAAGCGCCTCAAAAATAGAAATCCTAATTCATCTTAGTATTCCTGTGTGTGTGTATATGTATGTGTGTACACACATATTCAGTTTAACATTTAAGTGACTTTAGGTCCACCATACTATGCCAGACAATGGGTATACAAACTTGAATTAGAGTTTCTACAAATGAATGCCCATCTAGAAAAGCCCCCAACATGTAAAAGAGACCATATATAATCCATATAAACCCAAATACACCAAGGCTGTAGGAACCTGGGATGTTTTTTTGAGAAGGAAAAGCTTTTGAAAGCCAAAAGTAGAACACAATAATAATGTAATAATAATAACAGCTAACTCATATAGACAAATTACTACAGGTAAAGCACTGTTCTAAGTACTTTACATATTTACCTAATTTCTCTCAAAAGCAGCCCTGTGAGACAGATAGTATTGTTATCATTGCCTTTTAAAAGATGAAGAAATTGAGAAAAGGGAGTTTAAAGAACTTGTCCAAAGTCACTCATTAAGAGGCGGAGTCAGGACTTGAATACAGTGAGAATTTGGTCCTAGACTCTGGCTTGTGCTGCCTTAAGAAAGCCAGATGTTGACTAGATTGAGGAAATCAAACCAAAGGGAAAACGTCCCAGTGATTACAGCCATCTGACTAAGAAAAGGCTTTCTTCTCTGAAGCAGCGAGTCCCACATACCTGGAGTCATTCAAGCACAAGTTGGACTACCACTTGGCAAACTGTGGTAAGTTGAGTCTTAGGACACAAAGTGTGGTCCTTATATCAGCAGCATTGACAGCACCTGGGAGCGTGACAAAATCTCAGGTTTCTCCTCAGAACTACTGATTGCTGAAGTTTGAGCAGCACTGTAGCAGACAAGCTTTAGGTACCAGAGAATACTAATGTAGCAGCACTTAGGCCAATTTCTATTTATTTGTCTAAACCTCAGTTTCTTCATTTAAAATGGAGCCAATTTTTATATTCCCATAGGATTGTTGTAAGGATTCATTATTATATGTAAAACACTCGTCACAATGCTTTGTATCCTGTAAGTATTCAATAAATGAAAACCATTAACAGAATTATACATCAGAGATAAAATTCAACTAAATAAAAGTCCCTTAAGGACCCTTTCAACTTGGGAAGACTTTCTATGAAATAGAAATAGAAAACATACAAAGGCAAGAAGCAGCCCTAACCTAAGAGTTAGGCATTAAGTTTGGCAGTCTCAAGGGCATATGAGAAGGATAACACCCTTATGTCCTTCATTAAGATGATTGCAACAAGAAAAAGTATTAATTTATTTTCAATTGTTACTATAAAGCATAAATATACTAGGAGACACTATCATTAGTTTTCAAAACACTTGAGGGTAAAATCCACTACTCTGAAGAAAGGAAAAAAAAATCAGATCCCTGTGTTTTAAAAATTAAAGTATATAGGAAAGATAAGTTACTTCCTAAACACCACCTATAATGATCTAAAACTCATTTAGCATGTCAGTAAGACGCATATGAGGATTAGTCCAAAACTATAAAAACAAATATCCTATTTAAAATAAACGGGAAATGATCAATGGAAAATATATAGTTTAACTACAACATAGCAGTTGGAAACCAGTTGGTTAGAATGGACCAAGTGCAAGTGGTTAGAATTTCAGTAAGAGAAATTGTTAGGCCTGTTCTTCACATTAAGGTAACAAGACACTGTCAATACAGATTTTGGCTGTCTACCCCAAATGACAATAACACAAGTTGTCAGCATGTTGGGAGTCACGCAAGTATTTTTCCAATGAGGTGTTTATAAATTTAAATTCTGGTCATGTTGTCAAATGGCAACAGGTGGGAACATTCACATGCCAAAAGCATAATAGAGAAGGAAAAAAAAGTTTATATAGAACAATAGTATATTAGGCCTGAGTAAACAAATACTATCACAAAAAATTCTGGCTGATTTCATTTCCTTCTAGTAACTCAGTATATGCAATATGTGCATCAACTGTTTGTTCATATCTGAAGGGACTAGAGTTCTGGAGCCAATTTAAAATTTTAATGTTCCAATGAACCCAACTCTTAAAAAACTTGGCTGATTTTGCCAGACTCTTATACCTAATTCTCTGAAGGGCTTTGATTGTCTAAGAACCCAAGTATTTAATATAAACAAGGACAATAACTATCTCCTTTGTCATTAGATGCAAATTTGTAGAGTTGAGAGAACTGAAACATCACCAAGTGTGAGTTACATTATAACATCTTTAAATTGTCACTCTAACAATGTCCTGAAGCATACAGTAATCTGAAAATTAATCTGAGACACACTAGCAAACAAGACAAAAATAATGTGCTCTTAAAATGTCACAAAGAACATTGGAAATAATATTAGTGAGATTTTAGTAGCTTGCAAATTGGAAAATAAGCAAGTGATACATGGTAATTGTGCATATAATACCTTCCCATCCAAAAACTAGCCTGACAAGATGTTACAGGCAGTGAGTTTTCATCAGGGTTTTCAGGGGTGGAGTGCTGTGCCAACACTCCTGCTGCTTGAGTTGTGATGTCTTTATAAAGCTGGATAAACTGGTACAAGTTCATGATCCGTGATGCTTCCACAATTCCACTGCTTTTGTTAATCTAAGAGTACAAAGAAAAAATTAAAAAGTGGATCCTTTTTTTCCTGCCCAATTTTCAAAACAAAAACAAATATAGTCAAACATCCTAAGAAATAGGAACTTTCAAGGTTTGCAAATTAGATAACCAGAGAGCATGAGTCTGAAAAAAAGGAATAAGACTATGGGGTTCAAAGTCCTTAAAAAATTTTATCTCATTTGATACTTAAAATACTCCTGTAAAATGGTTATTATCCTTGTTAGAGTAGATAAGGTCAGGCAACTTTCTAACAGTAAGGACATTAATGTTAGCAACCAGTACTGATAATTCTTTACGTTTAAAAAAATTAACTTTATTTGAATTCAACAACTATCTAAAATCCAAACAGTGGAATACTTTTTGAATATCTAAAGTTTTATTTTATACTCAAATTTCCAAATTAAAGAAAGTAACTCTCACACAAATCCTACACAAAAAGTGACTGTGTTTTTCCTGGCAGGCCATTTGAACCTTAGCAAAAACTCATTTAACTATCAATGGATTATTTAATCTCTCATATAGTCGTATTGTTGCTATTAGGTGCTGTCAAGATAATAGTGACCCCATGGACAACAGAACGAAACACTGCCCAGCCCAGCTCTGCATCATCCAAACAGAAATTTGTTTTCTCACAGTTCAGGAGAGTAAAGTCTGAATTTAGGACAGAAGCTCTAGGGGGGAGACTTTCTGTCAACTCTGGGGGAAGGTCCTTGTCTCCTTTCACCATCTGAGAGACATCATGTGTCTCAGCATCAGTCTTTCCCTGATTTAGAAGGTTCCCTCCTGGCTCTATTTTCTTGGTGGTGGTGGTAGTGTGCCATGGAATCAATTCTGACTCATAGCAACCCTGCATAGGTTTACCGAGGGTGTAAATCTTTACGGGAGCAGAAAGTCTCATCTTTCTCCTGCGGAACCATTGGTAGTTTCATACTGCTGACTGTGAGGTTAGCATCCCAACTCGTAACCACTGAGCTACCAGAGCTCCTTCTTGGTGATAGTAAGACTGAAAGAGATTTACTCAAATTCAACCTATAGACTGCATCCTGCCCCATTCACATAACTGGCAAGAATCCTGCCTCATTAACAACATAGAGGTGAGAGTCTAAAACATACAGGATAATTATATCAGATCACAAAGTGGAAGATAGTTATCTAAAACTGAGCATCATGGCCTGGCCCAGTCAACACATATCTGTGGGGAACATCATTCAATCTATGAACACTTTCCATTGTCATGAATCTGCCTTCCCTCTCTAGTCATTGTGCCTTCCATTCTCTTTTGTCATTTCCACCAAACTCCTACCCTACGCTAGTCCATCCCACTTGCAATCACTGAAGAACACCTGAATAATCTGAAATTCAGGCACTTTAAGCATGGAGTCCCTAGGTGGCTGCTAACTGAAAGGTTGGAGGTCTGATTCTACCCAGAGGTGCCTTGGAAGAAAAGCCTGGTTTATTTCTGAAAAATTACCCCGTGGAATCCCAATGGAGCACAGGTGTAATATGACACACATGGGGTTGCCATGAGTTAAAGGTGACTTGATGGCAACTGGCTTTCTTCTCTAAATTTATACCTTCGGTCTTTCCAGGTCACTCTCTCTAGTTCTCCCAACAGTTCTTCAGTTCTACGGGATCATGTGACTTTCCAGAGACTATTCCTTCCTGATGACATGTCTAAAGTATGTAAGATGATGTCCCGCCACCCTCACTTTCAAGGAGCATTCCTGCTGCACTTCTTTCAAGACAGATTTGTTTGTTATTCTGGCAGTCCAGGGTACTTAAAATATTCTTTGAAAACACCATTATTGAAATGCACTGATTCTGCTATGGTGTTTCTTACTCATTGTTCAGCATTCACATGCATACACTGTTGTTATTAAGTGCCTTCTAATTGATTCTGGCATAGTGACCCTGTACAGGGTTTCTGAGAGCAGCTGGTGGGTTTGAGCTACTGACCTTGGTGGTTAACAGGTCAGTGCTTATCCTACAGCACCACACCAGGGATCACATGCATGAGGCATTGAAAATGCCATGGTTTGGCAAGTGCACCTTAGTCCTTAAAGTGACATCGTTCTTTCTTACCACTTTAAAAGAGGTCAATTGCAGCAGATTTACCTAATGCAATGTGACTTTTGATTTCCTGACTGCTGCTTCCATGAGTGTTGATTGTAGATCTAAGTAAAATGAAATCTTTGACAACTTCAATCTTTTCTCTGTTTATAATGTTATTTATTGATCCACTTGAGAAGATTTTCATTTTATTAAATTGAGGTGCAACCCATTCTGAAGATTTTTTTTTGACCTTCATCCGTAAATGTTTCAAATTTTCTTGCTTCCTGCAAACAAGGTTGTCATCTGCATATTGCAAGTTGAAGATGAGTCAATCTTGATGCCATCTTCTACTTCGTATAAAACCAACTGCTTGGATTATTTGTTCAGCATACAGAATAAGTATGATGAAGGAACACAACTCTGGCACACAGCTTTCCTAATTTTAAACCATTCAGTATCTCCTTGTTCTGTTTTTACAACTGTCTCTTGGTCTATGTACATCTTCCTCATAAGCACAATTTAGTGTTCTGGAATTACCATTTTTCTTAATGCTATCCATAATTTGTTATAATCCTCTGGTAGTTAATTTACTTAATAAGGTTTTTCTACCCAAATGCTTCTGAATTCTCACCAAATGACTGACTGGGACCATGCAAACAGGGTAAACAGGACTCTTAATACCGGGACTGAGGAAAATTGGTTAGTTTTACCATCCTGCTAGGTTTAAAAGGTGCCAACTCATAATCAAGAACAGATGATCCCAGGACCATTAAGAAAGAAAAGCCATAAGCTAAAAATGTGAGATCTCTATCTGGAAACGCTGTGCATGGAGAGAGAGCAGCTGCGAAGTTCCTAGTCCATGGACTTAGTGAAGTTGAGTACCTATGGGCAGGAGGCTGGTTTTCAAAAAATGCCCTTTGAGCATTTACAGACTAAAAGGAGCTTTGTAACACTTGTCCAAAAAGGGCAAAGGCCAACATGCCACGTGACTGAGATGCTGAAGACATGAGTGAGGCATGTTTATAGTACGGCAAAGAAAAGGAGTTCCTTACTGAAGAACTGCTGCATCCAAAGTTGCTTTGCATTCTGAATTGTACTCTGGTTCACTTTCCTAATAAACCCCATAATCATTAGTATTGTCTCTGAGTTTTGTGTGGCAACTGCAAGAATCATCAAACCCAGATACTGTAGGAGGGATGGTTTATTCCAGAACAGGGTAAAGAAGCTTGTTGGGTAGAGGCAACCATAGTTACAGCCATCACATTGGTGGTGGTTGTGTCCCGTAAAATTGGTTCTGACTCATAGCAACCCTGTATAGGGTTTCCAAGGCTGTATATCATTACGAGAGCAGAAAGCCTCATCTTTCTCCCACAGAGCAGCTGGTAGTTTTGAACAGCTGACGTTGAGGTTAGCAGCCCAACTCATATCCACTACACAACCAGAGCTCCTTAGCCATCACACTGTTGTTGTTGTTGTTAAGGGCTGTTGAGTCAGTTCTGACCCAAAGTGACCCTGTGTAGGCTTTCCGAGGAGCAGATGGTGAGCTTGAACCGCCAACCTTGCAGTTCAAACAGCTTTGCAGTCTGGCGCATTAACTCACAGCGCCACATCAGGACTCCAGCCATCACATTATGGTTGTTGTTAAGTACCGTGGAGTCAGTTCCGACTCACAGTGACCCTGCACAGGGTTTCCAAGGCTGTAAATCTTTATGGGAGCAGAATGCCTCATCTTTCTCCCGTGGATCAGATGGAAGTTTCGAACTGCTGACCTTGAGGTTCACAGCCCGATTCGTAACCACTATGCTACCAAAGCTCCTTAGCCATCACATTAAGGGTGAGCTAATTAAATGTCTGACTAAATATAGCAGGCTAATTTTTAAGTTGACAATTTTGCAGGGCCCAAGAATAATATTATAAATATCCAAATGGTCCTCAGCATTTGCTTCCCGACCCTTGCTCTATAGGTTTTCCAAGGAACAGCTAATGGCTTTGAACTGCCAACCTTGTGGTTAGCAGTCCAATACTTATACTACAGTGCCACACTAGGAATCCTGGTGGGATATACCCAAGGACCTATTTTGACTTTTGTGGACTTAATTTTTTTCTGCTTCAACCTGAATTTGCGCATGAGCAGTTAATGGGCTGTTCCTGGTCTTTCTTTGGCTAATATTGAGCTTCTCCACAGATGTAGTTAATTTAATTACTGTTTGCTCCATCTGGTGAGGTCCACATGTATAGCCGCCATTTATGTTGCTGAAAACAGGTGTCTGCAATGAAGAAGTTGTTGGTCTTGCAAATCTCTATAATGATCTCCAGCATCATTTGTATCACCAAAACCAAATTTTCCAATGATTGATCTTTCTTTTTTCCAACTTGCATATTGCAATCACCAGTAATTATCAAGGCATCTTGATTGCATGTTTGAACAATTTCAGACCGAAGTAGTTGGTAGAATTCTCCATTTTCATCACTGACTTTGTTGTTGTTAAGTGACATCCAGTCGATTCTGACCCATAGTGGCCTGTATAGGGTTTCCAAGGAGCACATGGTGAGTCTGAACCACTGACCTTGCAGTTCAAATGACTTTGCAGTCTGACACATTAGCCCACAGTGCCACAGTTGTCAAATGCTGAGTCAGTTCCAACTGACAGCAACCCTGCATAGGGTTTCCAAGGAGTTGCTGGTGGGTCTGATCTACTGAACTTGTGGTTAGCAGTCCAGTGCTTATCCTATATGCCACACCAAGACTCCTTAGTTTTAGGGGTTGGTGTTTAAATTTGAATGAACAGTGGTAATAATTGCTGTTCCTTATAAGCTGATGGATATTATCCTATCACAGACAGCATTGTACTTCAAGACAGATATTGAAATGTTTTGTTTGTTTTTTTTAAATGAATGAGATGCCATTTATCTTCAATTCATTATTCCTTGCA